TCATTATTATTGGACCTCGCATGTTGAATTTCAAAAAGCGTGATGAAGCTGTCAGACTTAATCTAATTTTGTCATATTTTAAACATTGTAAACTAAATGTATAAAGCTGTGTTATTTACGTTACACTTAATCTCATAATCAATATAATCCGAGCGACGTAAACGGAATGATAATGAAGATTTATTATTCATTCAACTATTTGTCGATGAACAGTGACACATTTATTGTTCCGTAGCAACACAATACGATTTTAAAATGTTTCCGCCAATATTTACGTTACATAAACAAATTGAAAGTTTTGTGAATTGTTTAAAAGCGTTACATCAAAATTATTTGTTCAAAATTAGAAAATAATTACTTTTTTACCTTCTATTCAAAAAATTTGAGAGCAAACAAAGCGTCAAATTGACATCTGATGCTTTGCAGGTCGTAATGGAAAAGTAAATAAATTGTCTAGAAATTGGATATACATGCAGTAAAAGATGATGTTGAAAATTACTGTCAAATGCAATAAAGGTTACTGAACGTATCAAATAACAACGATATTTGATGAGCTTTTAAGGCAACTGACAAAGTCAAGGATAATTCAAATAAAATACTCGTATAGTAAACAACAATTTTGTTGCTTGCGACCGTATCAATAAATCAAACAAGAAAAAGCTTTTGATGATTTATTACTTATAATAGTGACAAAGTGAGAACATTTTAAAATTGTTGAATATTTACCTTTAAATAAGAGTTCAACTAGATTAATTAATGCAGTAGTAAAGTTTCTGACTGTTTAAAGTTAATGTACTTATTTCTGTTACTGTAGTCGCAGATATTACGAGACCTGAAAACTTGATCTTTTATAAAATTCTTTTTATGCGATTAGTAGGAGGAAGACTCAGAAGACGGTAAGTTTCGTGCAGGAAATTGATTCCTTGTGTAATACGCTTAGCATTAGTCAACACAATAATAGAATTAATAACCAAAGATCTGCTTTACATGAAAGTGGGTAATGAATGTATAACTTTTCATACGAAACTGATTGTTTCAACTTGATATTTGCAGGAAGTTTCCTTCATAATCTTATTTGGAATTGAAATTTCACGCTTAACGGCTTTGTTACCCAACCATAGTCGCTGAAAATAATAATAAGTTTTGTTCCACGTTTAACACCTTTTGTCTTATATTTTTAACTAGACCGGCACTTGGCAGCTTAAAGCTCTCCGAGGTAATTTAAATCCTCTTAATTCCTCCACTTCCTCCAGTTCGCAGTGCGTCGAGACGAGGGCACTTCCATTGATTTGTCCACTCGGCATTTATCCAGCATATGAAGCACCAATTACAATATTTCAAATCCTAATCTCTAATGAGCTCGTTAATTCACTCCAAAACTTAATTTGTCATACCCCTCGGTATTTGCGTTGATCCCGACCTGTTAATATATAACCAGAACAGGTCGATTAATCACCATGCGAATAGTTGCACTTGCAAATCGTACATGTTTGCCGGCATAAATCTTCTATTAATATCACAGTTGTATCCAACTGAATCTGTTGTCAGTGTACGAGAATAAAACAAAACACCGGAGGCAATAAAACCAACTAAAACTGGGTGCTGTTGAGTGCGAATGTGAAAACCCTTTGGAGGTTTAGTTAGATGGTGAGCGCAAGTAATTGCCTAATTTCCCCCAGGACTATCTTCTGTGAACTTAAAACGAGTCCCAGCTTACTTTTATTTTCTATTCACAATATCTGCAGATAAATTAATTCGATCATTTTCTAATTCTGTGTTATTCGGAAGATGAATTCGTCTGTTGTTACATTTTGTTTTAACTATTTTTATACTAAACATAGAATAGTCATTTCATCGAACCAATGTCGTTTGAAGTACGAACGAGCGGAGCGAGAGAGTGTAGCATATGTGTGAATGCGGGAAAAGCTTGTATATTTGAATTTAGGACAAATTATTGTTGAATGGACCATTTAAAAAAATATTTAAATTTGCACCTGAGGTTTATTCACTTTTTAGTTTTTATTTTCATCTCTGGGTCTTTAATTTAGTGATAATAAATGTTACAAACAAGCAAAATGGTTTATTTTTTACAATTGTTCATTTATTTTTTATGTAGGTCGATTTCTTTGTTGGTTTTTTTAAACTTACTAAAGGTTCTTAAATTAGTGAGCCGCAAATTTATTGAATAATCTTATTAAAACTAAAAATATTTGTTTTGGCAAAAAAGCTTTCTTTTTTAAAATACACTATTTTCAACTTGATTGATTTAAAATTTTACACTTTAAAGGAAACTCCTATTTTTTTTCAGTCAATTCAATAGATCTTTTAATTGTCAAAATATTAAATATTACACATTAAACTTTTGAAAACAAAATCATCCAAAAAGTTAAATAATATCAACAAAAAACAAACGTAGATGCAATTTTAAATCAAGTTGAAATCGTATATTTTTTATCCAAAAAAATTGACCTATTCGAGCATTTTTGTCAAAACAAAATATTTTCAATTTTAATAAATAAGATTATTCCATAATTTTGCCGGTCACTGTACAGGAATGGGTATAAATAATTCCTCGTATATTCTATTTTTTTCGTTTTTGTCCTTAGCACTTTTAATTTCCTCCCAACCTTTCTTTAGTATTTTGCAGTCTGTTATTTTCTTTCTTTTTTCTTCAAAGTTTATCTCTCTTTTTTCTGTTTCTACTCTTAATTTATCTTTTCTTTATGTGTGTATTGCTTTGTTCTTTAAACTTAACAAAGGTTCTGCTCATTAATAATTGAGAATTAATAGAGAAATATTAAATATATTACACATTTCTTTTTTTGTTTTTCGCACTTTTTTTGCTAATTTCTTCAAGTTTTTTGCCCTCCCTACATCTACTCTTATTTCTAACTTAACAAAGGTTCTGCACTTTAATAATATAATAAAAATATAATTCCACTCTTTTTTATTTTCTTGTCTTTCACACATTATGTTTTTCCATCATTCTTACAGTGTCTTGCGTTCCGTTTTTTTTTTTTTTTAACTTTATCGCCTTTTTTCTTGTTATTACTCGTATTCTATATTCTTTAACTTCTTCCATTACAATATAGACTTATCGTTTTTCTGTCTAATTATAAGACTATAACTCCTACATTATTATATTCTGATCATGTTATTGAACATTTTCGTTTATTTTTCTTTTATTTTAGCTTTACTAAACGTTTTTCCAGTCTCCATGTTTGCCCTAGTATTATGCTCGACTTCCTAAACAATTTTTTATGTTTCTCTTCACTGTTATTTTCTCTTATCGTATTTACCAATTTCTTTCTCCTTTTCTTCATTTTATTATGTTGATTACGTTTCTTATTAAAAGCAAAACTGATAAAGTTTTTAAAGAAAGAATAAGAAGTATATTGAGAAAGTACATAAATTATTCTAGATCTCTCTTGTGCAAGTAAATAAATAAACGTGGAATATCGATTGCTGTTGATGGATTGGCGGTGTTCAGACTAGTAAGTACACCTTCGGTAGCTTGCAGTTTGCAGAAGTAGCTATTGTTGAATTGCTTCATCTCGTCATTACTTGGAGGCATCGGAGAAACTAATTGTTAGTTACAACAAGCGCTCATCGATCTTGAATCAGAATTATCAAACTCGGCTTCGTTCAGTCGACTAGTTGCGGAATGGGTTTATGCGGAAACCTGCTAAAAATTTAAAAATAAATTTCTGCGGCAGCGCCGGTTTAATGTAGAGAGTTGCTGCAAGTTGAATGTTTTATTCAGAAAGTAAAAGTGGCGATTTCCTGCGGCAAAGTGCTGGTTTGGCTGTATTTATTTTATGAGAACTGACTAAAGTGCATTTGAGAGTGCGTTATTATTTTCGACGGACCCTTCAAGTGATTTAAATCAATTACGTGAAATGGATGCGTTCCCTTTGGCATAGCCTTGCTTACAAGCAATTCATATAAGGAAGCCACAGCCGAGTAATTCCCGGATTTATGCAGCTACTTATTATTCCGGTCGCAATCTATCTGATGTCGGAAAAGTAAAAGTAGCCAAAATACCCTTGGATAACTGCACAACTTTCCGAGGGAATTGTTTTATTTTGTAATAAGAGATGTTTAGGTTTATTACCTCGAAACTTTTATTCGAGCGAAAGTTATCACAATTATGCCAAACATTTATAATTAAGGTTTTGTTCTGATATTTGCGCACAATTCACATCTGGATCAAACAAGTTTCCTCTTACAAATATTTGTTATTTGATTCGCTACCTCCGGATGGGGTTTTAAATTGATTCAGCTTTGGATTTCAGGCTTGTTTTTGGTGGTAAATTGCTTTCCTTACGACTGTCATTTTGGAAAATCTTGCCTCCCTAATAATCTTCTGATGTAACCGAGTGTACGAACTTGCACCCTAATAAATACCTTCGTTTAATATTTAAGGCCTTAATAATCGAATTTGAAGATTTCTAAAGCTTAATCACGGCAGACTTCACTCAACCCTCTTCCAATAAAACTAATGAAGGTTTGAAAAATTAATTAAAATATTGATTTTGCTCCACAGTGTTTATTATGCGAACAACTCTAAACTGTGTTTAACACATATGAATGTTGAAATTTCGTTTGCATAACAAGTGGCGCGGGAAGTGGAAACAACAGATGACAAGTAATTTTGTTACAATTTTTTTGTCAAAGCAGTACAAGCTAATTTTTCTCTCCAATCAACATAATTTAATAGGAAATTCTTAAATTTCCTTAACGCTCGTAAATTTTTGCTGGAAATTGTGTCTCATATTCGAGTGATGAATGGCGAACGATGCAATCTTCTAATGAGTTCTTTCCGGTTCCAGTTTCACGATGAAGTACTCTGCTTTCAGCAAATTTGTTTTTTTTACATGAGGGCACCCTTTATCGGCCGTTTATTTGTTTTTGTTAATATGTAATTATGTATCCAAAACAGTTTTCAGCCACTAAGGGTTGGCATAATATTTGCTTTCTAAATAGTGTTCTTGTTCCAGAGGAGGACTACGATGCATTCTGTTTAGCCTACATGTTTACTTATCGTGATTTCGAAATGGGAACGTTAGGATTGGCCTGGACTGGAGACTTGAAGAATGCAGGAGGTGTTTGCGAGAAGAATGGGGTAAGAGAATGTGCCATTATTTTCGCTACAATGGACGGTTAAATTCATATTTACCCAAATTAATTTAATCCTATTACACAAGGATTAGACTAAGAGCATTACAGTAACGCTAGTCCTTTTGTAGGTTAATATGGTTAAGTATTATTCTCCACTATGTAAAGCAAAAGCGCTTTATACCAAAAAAATGAGTTCATATGTTAGGTAGATGTTACTTTTTGTAGGTTAAAGCAGCTTAAGATCGACTCTGGTGAATTCATCAAAATTTAATCGTTTTGTGCAAGAAATATGAAAACATATGTAGTGAAACCTCGGCTAAATTGGAACATTAATAGATTACACAGTGTCTGTACCTCTACGTGTGTATGTACAAGATTACTCCATTATAACGTTATTAGCCAGGCTATGCTAGACAAGAGAATAATTTCCAATAACAAGTTTGTGTGTGCACACAGTATCTATTGAACACATAATGAGTAGCGGAACAGCTCTAATTACTTTACAGGTGTTTGTTTTTGGCTTATTATTCACCTGTGGTCAGTCTGTTTGTGTTACTTCAAACATCAATCACTGATGAGGCACCTCTCATTTATGTCGCAGCTGGATGCTTTTTCAAACGCAAATTCGACTCAGGGTTGATAAGTTAAATTTTAATTAAAGAACTGAGAGGAATTTCCAATCGAAGTGTTTGATGTCGGTCGCTGTTCCGAACTGAACCACGATGGTAATTTGACAATTTTCAAAGGGTAACATTGTTTTAAGACAGATTTTATTGCGACGGACGGACGTGGGCAGCAAAATTGAACAGAAAAGGTAGTCTTTTATCTAAACGTTGTCATAAACAATGATGAGCAACATAAGAGGGGAACGTTCCAATTAACCTCCGTTTTTTAAGCTCAATCAATAAACAAGCGCATTACGAAGAATTAACGATTACCACTTGTCTGAAATTTATTTTACCAAATTAAATATTTATTTGTTAACTGCTAAATTAACAATTTTACTGTTTGTGCACTTTTATAGTCATTTCACAAGAATAAATAAAAAAATCCTGTTACAAAAATTGAAAGAAAATTTATGATAATATTTAAATTAGATGTTTGTTTTCAATAAGCATTTGATTTCAAAAGAAACATCAAAAATATGAACCGATCTGATGAATAATATTATACTTGTACATATTATGTTTATACAATTTTAGCATTTTAATTACCTGTCAATATGTATACGAGCATAATTATAAATCAATTGGATAATAATTATTATTTGTGCTTTTAAATGGAAAATTAGTTCATAAATGGACATCTATTACCAGAAAAATGTATAATTACTGATAAGATTTTAAAAATAATCTTAAAACTCTTATAATTCTGTTAACTTTTTCTTAACGTTGTGTCTTACTATGGACGTTATGTAGTGTTAATGTTGATTCTCTCTCTTATTAAGGACTAAAAAAGGACTTCATCATAATCGTTTCTACCCATTTTTAAAACTTTTATTACACGTGTTTTAACAAATTCAAGACTCTTTTGTAATGTTTTCACAATGTAGTGAAAAAAATAAAATAAAACAAAATAAAAAACAACAAATAACACAGGTTAAATAACAATAAGAAAAAAAGATAATTAAAAAGTAATGATTCAATAAATGGAACGAAATAAGATACTGTGTAAAAAGTGATTGAAAGAAACTAAAAAGTAAAACCTACAAATTAAAGAAAGAAAATGTAAGAAAATAAAAATGTAAGCAATTAATTTTAACTCCTAGATAACAGTAAATGAAAGTGTGGAGGATTCTTTACAACTTGAAATTTGAATTGATTTATCAATTTTTGTAAGTGTAATATGTAGTTTTTTTTATTTTTATTTTGCTTATATTTAATAAAATCTGGTTTGTCATCATTATCTTTTTCACTTTCAGCACTATAGAGGGAGCATGAAATCTTTAAATACTGGAATCGTCACGTTGTTGAACTACGGAAAACACGTACCGCCTGCAGTGTCCCATGTAACACTTGCTCACGAAATTGGTCATAATTTTGGATCACCGGTAAGTATCTTTTGTTTCGGTTTATTTCTTCATTGAAATACATTGATACATAAAAATAACATTATTTCTTCAAATTGACTCGTTCTGATTTGATCGCACTAAAAGGCGTTTTCGCAGCACGAAATTACGTTTCTATGCAAAAGAGTATTCGTCCAATCTGCGTTTGTTTTTACATTTTGGACGCCTTAGCGGCGGTAATCTTTTAACAAAAACCTCGACTAGAAACTCTTCGACTCATTACCATTCAGTCTGTCTTCGATGTCCGTAGAAAATTCTGATTAGGGTAATTCCATCTTGATTTATTAAATCGATGACTCGATTTATTTTAGTTTGTATGTTATTCAAGTCAACTTGGGTAATCGAGTCTTTTTCCCTTTCGTTCCATAATCGGGGCTGTGTTTTTGAAAGCTTTTAAATGACTTGCTTAATGAAATTTTATTTTATCAACAGTTTTGGGTCGTTGACTGAAGGGTTCTGTTGATTCACTTCTACCTGCACCTGGATTTTCCACATGTTCGCAGATTTAAATATCAATGCAACAACTCATGTAAAATTGACAGCTTTGATAAATCTCCTAAAGCATTTATCACTCTTCCTTGTATCTGCATGCATGGAATATTTCAATTTATTCCAACACAAAAATGTTTTGAAATATTCTGCGAAGTTATCGTGCTGTGCATCTATTCAAAGGCTTTCAAAGTTTTGAAAAAAAATATTAATTATTTTTCTTACGACCCTAACAGAAAGTTTTTCCACACTAATTTCAGAAGCAAAAGTGGTCAATTATCTCCCAGGAAAATAATTGTCAAAACTACAACACAAATATATGTAACCTCTAAGGGAAATAAAATTTTTGCCTCCCCTATATAAATTGGGATATCAAGAGAAATTTTTGGTTTAGAGTTTTTCTTGTTGGATCGTAGGAAAAATTAGATGTATTAGTCTGGAGGAAAGTGTCTTTTCGTCTCTCGACAAGTCTCGGGCAGTAACTTCCGCCTGTGCAAGGAAACGATATACTTTCTTCTCTTGTAATACAAATAACTATCATTTCAAAGAGGATTTGTTACAAAGAAAACATTTGTTTTACTTGAGTTTCCGTTTTATTACAAGAACAATGAATAAAAATTAGTATCAGGTCTGTTACACCGTGCAAACTTTTCAATATTTTTTTTTGTGATGTATGGATAATTCACGCTTTTGTAAAAAACGACAGGCTTTTTCAATACCCACAATCGTAAAATATTATCATGAAATTTTAAAAGGGTATTCTTGTTAATTGCTCAAATTTATCATCGAACAAAAAGTGTGCGACAATCAAATAACATTTATCCATATCCAGTTCAGTGGCGTAACAACACAGCGGATAACAAAATTTTCGGTTTTTCTCCCGTGTAAGGAAGTTTTGACTACTGTTTGGCATTTCTCAATACGAAACGTCAGATTATTTTTAACAGATTTAAAGCAAGTTTAAGCCTTATTGAGTCTAATTCGAAGAATAAAATGTTGTATTCAACTCGTTTGAGTGTAATCGGACGCTTTATTCCACCTCGTGGATGATAAACCACTCGTTACACTCGTGGTTTAATAACCTACTCGGTGAGATAATCCGTCCGATTTACACTCAAACTCGTCGAATAAATAACTAATATTTGCATTTTCCCCGGAATTGGCTTAACTGGTTTTGTATTATCATTAAAATTGTTAAAATTTTGCATTAAAAATCAAACTTTTTGTTTTTTTATTATTTTATTTCGTCAGATATGAAAAATAGAAATACAACTTTAAATAGTAGTATGTATTTTTCTAAAAGGGATGTTATTTTTTTTAAAACAGCTTTGTTTTTATCTTTTTGTTGGATATTTTTTGTGTTGAATGAATTGTTGGTTTTCCAAAACACTAAACGTTTATTTTTAACACAACACGCATTTTGACGACAAGGGAGTGATAATAAAACTTTTTGTGAAAAAATGTCTTCATTTTTTGTAGTCTTTAGATAGTGTTATATTAACAAAACAGTTTGCAATTGCTTCGAATTTCTGTGTTATAAATGACACAAAATCTGTACTTTACGATATATACTTTATACTCCTATTTTTTTAGTTTTCTGGAAAAAAAACATTGTTTGTTTTATACATACTTTATTAGTTAGTTTGTGGCGGAACACCGGTGGTTACGCCACTGCCACCACTGGTTCATTATTCTGCATCAACGCGCTCAGTTCATTAAACTATCGAGATAAAGAGCCCGATTAATAGTGACTTTTTCATTGCATAAAGCACGACCCGGAACAGTGCACCCCCGGAGGCGAAGATGGTAACTTCATTATGTTCGCAAGGGCGACGTCTGGTGACAAGAAAAACAATAATCAGTTTTCCCCGTGCAGCCTGAAAAGCATTAACCCAGTACTTAATTTTAAAGCGCGCTCACCAAAAGGATGTTTTACAGGTAAATCGCTACGCTCTTTCTCAACTTTGTTTCATTAAAACTTTTCGTTTCCAATTTAACTTTATGCTTTTGATACATACATATTTTGAATCGATGTCAACTCCACTTACCTTTTGGTACCCACAGAACCTCAAGCTTCCCTCTGTGGAAATGGTGTCGTCGAAGAGGGAGAAGAGTGCGACTGTGGATGGGAAGAGGACTGTCGAGACCAATGCTGCTTCCCCCAACGGAGGTACCCGCCTTTGGACGAGCCCCCTTGTCGTCTCACGCCGCGAAGCATCTGCAGTCCCTCACAGGTGCTTTTAAATTTTTTGCCGCCCTTGTCGTAATTGAATTTTTTCCCAGGGACCGTGTTGTACGTCCGAATGCCAAGTGAAATTCGGCGATAAGTGTAGAGAGGACAACGGCTGCAGGGACGAAAGTTTCTGCAACGGACGCAACCCCCAATGCCCTCCCTCTGTTAACAAACCGAACAAGACAATTTGCAATAAAGAGTTTGTTTGTTTCATGGGTGTAAGTCAAAAGTTGGTAAACTATTCCCAGTTAAAAATCGAAATATTTCAGGAATGCACCGGATCTATATGTTTAGCGTATGGCCTGGAATCTTGCCAATGCATTCCGAAGAAGGGCGACCCAAAAACCAAAGCATGTGAATTGTGTTGTAAACTTCCAGGGGATAATCAGCCGTGTCTCTCTTCGTTTGATTGGAACGACATGCCTTATGACATTCCCGACATGTATTCAAAACCAGGAACGCCCTGCAATGACTATAGCGGATACTGCGACGTGTTTCAAATGTGTAGAGAAGTTGATCCTTCGGGACCCTTGGCTACGCTGCGAAAATTGCTCCTGTCGGAGGAAAGCTTTGCCAGCTTTAAAAAGTGGATGATGGACTACTGGTATGCGGTGGCAGCCATCGTGGCACTAGTTATCGCACTACTGGTAAGTTTTTATCTAGTTTATCACAAAATTGAATCAATTAACAAACTAAATTATTAATAGACTAAATTAATTATTGAAATTCGTTGTCAGAAGCGTAAGTTTTAACACAACAGCACCTTGTAGATGCTATCTGTAGTCAACATTAATGTTTGGTTACTAAACTTTTATGATCCATTTTTCCAACATCTTTATAGATATCATGCTTTGAAATAATTTTCTGGGCAAAGTGTCCTATGATTTTGAAATTAAGTTGGCAATATAAAATGTCAAATTCAATCGTCACCAATAATTCGGATTGCCAACGTAATTTTAAAGTCACTGGTCACTTTGATCAGAAATTTATTTGAAAGCATGGTAAAAATGCAGGACTTGTCCTAACTAACAAATTAATAATGCTTTCTTAGTCATAATGACTCATTATGTTATAACACGTATAGTAGTAGTAAGAAATATGTAGTCTACGATGTCGCTAGTTTGTAAATGTTATTCATGAATCGCGTAAAAGCTCTTGAGAATTTACTTTGAGATATTACGTTTGTATATTTGATCATTCTCTAACAACAAATTTGTTTTAGGTTTTAAGCACCAAGTATCTAAGTAAAAAGCCAAATCTGAAGTTGAAATCAGTCACAATAATGCACAGTTCGCCAACTGAGGCCGTTAGATTGCCTCCAGATGGAGAAAACGGGCAAGTAACTGTCCACCCGGCAATTAGATCAAAACTACCTCTAAAACGTAAAGTCCGCAATGGGAAAATTAAACGCAAACGCAAGACTAAAGAGTCGGTGAACAACAATTTGAATAGTCCCAGCAGAACGAAGAATTCTCCGAAGAAAAAGAAGCGAGTTTCTGCCCCCGTCGGTGCTGAAGAAAGAAAGAAACCTGTAGTGGATGGTGCAATAATCGAAATACCTCACAGCAAAGTCAAAAAGTCTCCACAAGTAGCCGCCAATGGCAAGAAAAAGAAGAAGAAAAAGGAAACGATTGATTATAGCAATGCTCAACCGGACGTCGAGGGAAAGAAAGGGTTAATTAGTGCCGAAGTTGTTCATAATCCGTTGACACCCGAGGCGGATCCTGTGGGTAAAGTCCAGAATTGGTTGTTGAAGTCACAATACGCCTTGCCGAAATCCAAGTCAACTCCAGCGGGATTAACCGACAAGTCCCGAAGAAGCCCTCACAAACGTCCCACCATTCGGCCGCGTACTGACAAAAGCAAGTCGCACAGTGTGGGCAACATTCCTAGCGAAAAGGAAAAAGTTCGACTGCAAGTGGTATATAAACCGCCGTTTAAATTTAGTGTTAAGTTGCGTAAACCGGAAAAAACTAGTGTAGTAATCGAACGTGCTGATGTGAACAGAAAGACTGAAAAAAGTAAAACTCCTAGGACAGGCGTGCTTGTGCGTAGTGTGAAACAGCGCGAGCCGAAGACGAGTGTTGATAATCCAGCTGTTGCGATAGACGCAGCTCCTGTGCCCGTAGCTAGTCCGTTGCAGGTTGTTGATTCTCCCGCTACTAAACCTGATGATATTGATTCCAATATTCATACCGTCCAGTCTGATTTAGAAGTATTGTTATCTGAAAGCGAATTTCTATTTTCAGATGACTGATATAACTTTTTGCAATGATCCAAATTGACTTGTTTAAGGCTGTGGAAACAAACATTCCGCACTCTCAGAGCTGCTTAAATATTAAGTTTGATTCAGGTCGACGTCATCGTCATGAAACTTTACCAAAATCAATAAGAAGTCACTCTTGACAAGTGCTCTTATTTATTATACCTCCCAATACCAAGAATCAAACTTATTAATTTTTTGTAATAAAACAGCTAAAAGTTCACACAGCATTGATTCCAAAGCATAAATCAAAGTTCTACAAATGTGGGCTAAAGGTATGACTGATTCAAAGTAAAGTTTCATCATGATGATGTACTTAAGATATTTTTATTAACCGTGATCCACTTAGGTTATTAATTTTTACTTAAACTCTTATTCAATTGTAAAGTTAAAAACTAAAATATATATATTTATTTATACATAACTCTGTAACTATAAAATTGCTGCTTGTATGGTATTTTTACAGTGCCATTTTTGTACTGTGAATATCGTGGTCAAATAAGACGTAATTTACAATCGTCTCATTTGTTACAACTTTGTAAGATACTATTGTGTCAAGTAAAAAAATTTGAAAATTCAATTAAGTTAGCGTGCCAAATAATTGCTTTGATGTTAATTACATAGTTGAAATTTATACAAGCTGAAAGTGTTCGATCCTTACTATTTTATGTACTCTTGTTGATAAAAATGTTTGTCTGAAAAGGGACAATTTTAAATCGGATTATTTTCTTTCAACTGTAAAAATATCACCTATACGTATTGAAATTTTATTTAGAATTAGTAATTTTTAATTTAACATTGTTTTTAATTTTATATTTTTTTAAAGTCGCAGAAAAAAGTGTTTTCTGTGATTGGCAAATACTTTTTCCTCCAATTGTACTTACTGATCGTACTTCTTTTTAGTCAAAAATTTTGTTTAAACATTATTTACTTATTAACGTAACTATGTATTTTATCTTTTTTAAATAAATTTATAAAAATTTAAGCTTTTTCTGATTGTAAAAAGTAAAGATTGGAAAAACTTTGTTACTCTTATAGGTTGTCCATTAAAGCTTTTTTTAATAACTATCTTATGAATGCTTAATAAATATTGTGATTGTGAATTAGTTAAACCCAAATGGATGTAAAAATCACAATTTTATTCTTGTTCACTTGAAGCATGTTTTATAATTTAAAGTTTTTTATTTATGGGGTTGGTACTGATATCACCGGAAATGGAAAATGTTCTTTTGTGGCCACAAAATCAAGTATGTAAGTATTTCAATCAAATACCATTTTTATCTCATTAATTTCTTCTAAAATATTTAAAAAATGAAATAATCGGTGGTGTTGAAGGATGTTTTTGATTATATATTTCCGCTTTAAGAAGAAATATCGTTTCGCACGCGACTAGTTTCCCAATTTTTGAATATCAAAGACATTGAGGTTATGTCATCTTCAATAAATTAATTTCTCTATCAGTTTTAGCCTTATTGGTGTTTTCGTGAGTGCAAATGGAGAAAACTGGTGGAAAGTTCGTTTTAGAATGGGAAACTCATTCAAAACAGGTCTCCAGAGGTTTGTGTATGTTGATGGAGAGACAGTGTCTAGTTGATATTGCCGTTTGTTGTGGAAGTAATACATTGCATGCGCATAAATGTGTATTGGCCGCAAGTAGTAGCTATTTTAAAGTAAATTATTAAAGTACAAAGATAGTGGATTACTCAACAATTGATTGTTATAGGAACATCTTGAAAATAAAGCCATTGAACAAGTTGTAATAAATGGCTTAGATTTTGCTGTCATGAAGTCATTAATTGAATTTATGTACTCGGGGGAATGTGCTTTTGCAGAAGACCATCTCAAGTATTTCATAGCCGCTGTAAAATTTTTCAAGATCACAGCGTTGGAAAATATTTTTGCTGAAAATGAATATCAAAATACCTCAGGTAGGTTGCAAAGCCTCTTTTCTCTGAGTTTTACACTTTTAAATCTGTCTGTGACCTAAATACTTAAAATATCTGTTGCCAGTGAGGCTTTCAGGGTAGACAGGACCTCATTAAGTATAATTTAGCTCACCCATTGTCTCGTCTTATGGAAGTTTTTAGTTTTCCAAAAACATTTTAACAAAAAACACGCTTATTTGATTTATTGCTGTTATCATAATTAAGCACGAAACCCATTTAAGACTAAAAGTAGACCAAATAAAATATATATTTTAAGTATGTACACCTTTCAAACACGCTCAAATGAAAAGTTCTAGATAGTCAACTTGCGCTTCATGGTTTCAAATTAAATAGACTCAAACAAATTGTCAAATATGAAACCTTTAAAAATTAAGTTACATATTTTATTAATTTGATATCTACTAACAAAGAATTTACGTAAATGTTGTATGTTTAATGTGAACAGTTTTCTAATACTACTAATTAGTAGGTACATACCAATTGGTTTTTACTCTTGGCATAGAAGACCCAATAGTAATTTTAATTAAAGCGGTTTTTTTTCTATTTTTTTTAATTTGGCATATTTTTAGTAGTTAAGAGCCCGCGGTCGCCTTCGTCATTTTTAAAAGTTGAAAATTTGTCAGCGCATACTTCCAACACAGGTAGGAACGATGGGCAAGTATGAAGTTTGGGTCATCGTGGCTTTGGGAGATAACAGAAGTAAAAAATATCAACTTAAATTTATCAAATAAAAAAGCGATTTTTTTTTTATATTTTTTTTCGGAATAATATTAGAAATCACCTCATCCATTGCCAGACACTTAACTTTATGGTAACCCCTTGTCAGATACCCTTAAACTTTATTAAATTGTAACTGTACTTACGTTATACCTAGTGTAAAAGCTGGATGTTATACATGTTACTTGGGTAACTATTAGAAGATGTTTTCTCATTAGCCGGACAGTTCTAAGTTTTAAGTAAAATAAATATGATTCAGTTTTGACAAAGTATCATCATGGGAGGCCTATAGCTACCCTATATGTTTGTCTGGCCCAGGGTAGAACTGTCGAAACTGTCTGGTTACTGAGAGTCAACATCTTCTAATAGTTGTCCAAGTAACATGTATAAAATTCAGCTTTTATAGTACAGTGCGATCAAAAAGTCTGTCTATCAAGCAAGCGTAGAAATTGAAAACGTATGTGTGTGTGAAGATAAAATTTCATCATGACAAATGAGAAATGTCAAAATAATTTTTATGTAAATTATAACAGGAAACCGTGGTGAACGATTTTTATGAATAAAAACCAACAAAATCTCATTTTAGGATATTTTGAGACGTTTTATAGAATAATTCAATTTAATTAGCTTAATGTTTTAATTTTTATAAAATAATTTTTTGACATCTAGATAATATACGAACTGCCATGCAACATACGTCCTCAACTAGGACGCCTACTTGATAGAAAGACTTTTTGATCGCACTGTATAACGTAAGTACAGTTACAATTTATTAAAGTTTAAGGGTGTCTGACAAGGGGTTGCCACGATATTAAGTGTCTAGCAATGGATGAGGTGATTTCTAATATTATTCCAAAGAAAATACGCTTTTTTATTTGATAAATTTAAGTTGGTATTTTTTACTTCTTTGCTACCTGTTATCTTCCAAAGCCACGACTTGCCCATCGTTCTAGCCTGTGTTGGTAGTATGCGCTGACAAATTTTCAACTTTTATAAAATGACGAAGGTCTGGTGACAGCGGGCTCTTGCTCTATTTTACATTTCCAATAAAACAAAAAACACTTACATCTTGTGCCATAGCTATCGCCACTTCTATCACTTTTCACAGTGTTTTTTCTGTATGAAACCTTCAGGCTTCTGTCTTCATAAAAAGTCTCTAGAAAATAATGTGGGGATAATAGAGTGGTTATAAATGATTTTCATCTAGCCAGCTTTGGAATTTTTTTGCATGTAACTTTATTTGTGCCGCTCTACTTTTTTGAAAGCTCTAGTTCTGTCATTAGTGTCACTTATTAATTAATAATAAATTGTTGTTAATTAAATTTTTATTGTTTCAACTAATTTCCAATAATAATTGATAATAATGTATACTTTGGAAGAAAACAAGTTTATAATTGAAGTCTATTTTCGAAGTGGACGCTTAGTAAACGGCGATTTTTTAATTTTGAGTTACAACAAGTAGGTACCCCTATTTTCGTAAAGCGGCATTTTTTATTTTACATGGAAAATTCACAGCTGGCTAGATGAAAATCATTTATAACCACTCTGTATTTGATGCAGCGTACTAAAGAACAAATTATCATACGCAAAGTCTTAATAAAATAGTTTGAATCAGTTAAAAATAAAATTACGAGTTTGTGTTACATCAAAGAAAAAACATTAATAATCTTTTCTAATGAACATTACCAAAAAATTGCTTGAAGGTAAGTATACAGATATAGTCGACTTTTTAAAATTAACACAAAATGCATCACATTTTTTTATTTCGATGTTTTTAAAGATGAAATTGCAAAAAGCAACAATGAATTTTGATTAATAAAGTAAATATGTTTAGGTTAAATGGACAGGTTTTAAAAACCTAAAATAACTTAGTTAAAGCGTTTTTGGGCTTAAAAGCTAACTACATCAAATAAAAAGAAATAATACAAAAAATTCTCTTTGAATATCGCATGCTGAAACCTAACTGTTAATATGAAGCTGTCGTTTTAGGACAGTATACAGGGTCTGTCAGAACTCGCGCTCCAGAGAAAAATTTCAAGGAACATAAGATACCAGGAACATGGAAAAAATGTTTAAAAAATTCTATCTGTCAAGAATTTTTAACATTTATTTTTTGGCATTTGACATTTTTTATGTCTGTTTAATGATACTGATGATCTTGTATATGTTTTATTATAAATATTTAGTAAAGGTACAAAAATTTTGCCAATAAAAACAAATTACATAATAGTTACAATTTAGGTTACAGTTTCCTTGTTTGCTCTTCTAATAGCCTATAGCAAAAAAACTTGGAAAATTATTTTTCCAACAGGAATAATTAGTGTCAAAGTTCAAAATTTAAACTTTCATAACTTCGAAATTTTCAAGGATAGAATTTTTTAAAGGTTTTTTCCATGTTCCTGGTATCTTACTTTACATCGCATTTTTCTCTGGGGCACGAGTTTTAGCTCACCCTGTATAATTTAATCGGTGTATTTTTTACCTCTCAGTATGTTAAAAACAGTCTTTTTTATTATCAAAACTTGACGACCTGCTAGGATTTTATAATTCTGAACAACATTCTTATAAATAAGAATAAGAAAAAAAAGTCAAATTTTGATTGGACCCACTAAATTCAGCACTTATTTTAAAATACGAGCTAACTAGATTATCATGTTTTAAAAAAGTATACTATACAATTCAGGTATGTGATATTTGAATCAAATCACTATCCGAGGATTTATAAATCATCCATTATCATTGATTGACGTGCATAATATGAGATTACAAAATATAGGTATATTTGTTTTCATTTTGTGTGCGTGTAATACATTAAAAAAAGAAAAATTTCATTTTCAAGCTGCTGCACCCTTTTATCAATAACTTGGTAACAACATAAGAGTGAATTTGGGTGTAATAGCGCACTCTTACGGAATCTGCTCCAACACACCTATCCCGTCTTTCAACGAATAATTTCAAATTTACATTTTATGATCCAATTACATTTTAATTTGTTAAAATATTTCCAGCGGACGAAGTGTGTATCCCCCCTCCGCAATTTATATGTAAACCTCCCAAGTATCCAACTGTTTACAAACCTTTTTCCAACGCATCCCTGTCTCCAAAAATAAATTATGCTTTAAGTAATGTGTACGGCCAACATAAATTTAAACGAAAATGTCTTGGGAGCGAAGCTGAAAAAGCATGCGCTAAAGAGGCCCAAGCGAGTCGCATTGCTTTGGCTAATTTGCGAAAAGTTATGGCAAGTACACCACAAGTTCACTCCTTTATCGTCGAGGAGTCTTTCAATGAAACGACTGTCGAGAATTTTATACCTAACGTA